TAACGTCTAGATACGCGACAAATGCTATCACTGGATTTGATATGAAAGCAAAGGTACCTATCATAAATATATCATATGGATATCAGCGGTGTTGGGTTTCACTAAAACCCTACGCCGAGTTTCAGACCTTTTAGTCTCAAAAATCTATACAATATTAAAGCTGAAGAATTTGTTTGTTTTACTTGAATATCAGGACTAACTACTCTGTCTGGACCGATTTGAAAAATTATTTTTGTGTTGGATAGCCCATTTATCGAGGAAGGTTATAAAACGTCATCCTACAGCTAATAGGGGCGGAGCAGTAAAGAAAAATGTTTCAACAACGGGATATATTATTCAAACCATTTTCACGACGAAGTCCCGGGCACAGCTAGTTAATTAATATCTACCACTTTATTGTAAGTTCTAGAATATACATTCTAAAGCCCACCTCTTATACCAGCACCACAAAAGGTAAATAGCATACCGAACGTCTTAATACCATGAATTATTCCCATGGGACGGTCGATATCCCATATATGGGGCGAGGGGTCAAGAAACCACGATCGATATCAGACTATGTAAGTCGTTGACCAAGCAGTTTGAAAGTAATAGACAATTAGACAACTAACTATGGTATTGGAATTCATACCATTGTATTATGCTTTTAGACTACGATATTTTATTTTAGTTATATGTCGTTGGTGTATCTTTTCAATAAATAAAATAAATATTTGATAGGATATGGCTTCAAAACACCTTAAAAGTCTTTAACGGGCATAACAAGTCCACATTTTTAATTGTTTTTGGACCTTAAGACAAGGGAATAAAGTTTAAAATTTGGTGGGAACTATATTCCCACTGCAGTATAAAGGGTTAAATATACGTCAGGTGATATCTTCTCACCACTGGCTCACGTTATTCCAGAATGCCACTGCCACTTCAGCAAAGATAATATAAAAAACACCCTGGACGGGATGTGTAAAGGAACTTTTGAAGCGAGTTTCCTATGAATATTTAGAATATTGGCCTTTCAGTAAATGAAACAAGTTAAACTAAGCCCTCGAGTAAGCAAACAGTGTTCTAAATATAAAAACAAAACATCCAAGATTTATGTATCAAAAGTATCAAATAAAGTCTTTTACACGCAAAATTTACTGGCAATAAATCTCACACAAGCATCTTTAAATTTTATTTTACGTAATTCGAATGAAAAAAATACGCTGGAATCCATAAATGCTGGATTATGCGGATCCCAGAGCTTGGTTCTCGTAAAACAGAAGGATAGGACGGTTTTAACTGTAATATGAATATAAACGTGCCCAGATTTAAACGAAAAAGGGCTCATAAAAATGCTGTACGGCGTAAAGCCACTGTTTTAATTTTTATTTGCAAAACATACTGTTTTAATAAATAAATAACAATATTATATCCAAAAAGCTTTAGGTTGATTTATGTTATGTTAAATGTTATTTGGAATTTTAAGTTTATGTAATTTAACATAGACATTTATTTACTTTGTTTAAGATAGCCCAACATTAATTGCAATTTCGTACAGACGTTGATAAATCTGTTTTAGCAGCCCATTTTCCCAATTTAAGTTTTCAATAAGACACTTTCAAAGGAATTAACTGTTTGGAAGTTGTACAAGAATTTAATTCCATGTTCATTAACAAAGTTGTTCTTGATACTTCGTGATAAAGCGGCGAGTACGAACTAATTTACGAGCTATTTTTACACTTTTTAGTTTGATTTCTTTGGAGGCTATTGTTTTATTTAGGAGATGATTGAGAGAAATCTTGATTTACAGAGAGAGGCCTATGTTCAGCAGTGGACGTCCTATGGCTGAAATGATGATGATGTGTACCAAATGGCCAAATGGCTCGCGTACGGGACTAAACTAAAACGCTAGTTACGTTTGCTGGGTTTGATTCCCGCTGGGTGCAATGGTCATTATCACGAACACGAACACTTATACGTGACTAGAGGCATGGACTATCTATAATAATCTATCAGGTACTAATTAGGATAGGAATAGTAATACTATTATCTGTGAAAATTGTCAAGACTATTCGTCTTAGACTTCGTTTCGGTCCAAGTACTTTAACTCACTGCTGGAGAAATTGATAAAATATGAATCTTATTTTTGCTCTGAAATTTTCATGACATTCGTAAAAGAACGTTACATTTCAGTGTACATTTTTAATAAGAGATTGTTATTCCCTTTACTCCTAACTACACTACTACACCTGCAATTTAGTAAAGCAATCACCATCCAGTATGCAGGCACACCTGCAGTGTTCCTTTGTTGGAAAGACGTCTAAATTACTATTTGCCTTCATAACTTGGAGTTTTCCAAGAAATTCAATACGAACGCCATTAAAATGCTCGCGTATTCATGTCTAAATTGTACACCTCCAGTTCCAGCGTCAGGCTTTATGAAACTTATATGAGCTGTCTCACAACATAGCGCAGGTTTATTCAGTAGGTTATAAAAAAGGGGTTAACTGAAGAAAGTGTAGATAATTTTTAAGGGTTTTAATCTTTCCAATCATCTGTCTCCCGCTTTGCAGCGAAGGGAAGTCGAGCTTATACTTGGAACTCTCATATTCTTCTGATTAAATTGGTTGCGGTTTCTAAGACGATATACTTTAGCTTATAAGCTATCCTCGAGAACTAACTCAACTTCACTGGTTGGTTCCCATTCACGGTCAAACTGTAGATCCTGACTGTCTAGGAGTAGTGATTAATCCGACCAATTTGGGCCATGGTGACCACTTCGACCCCTGTCTTGCCGGCGCTGGTGTGCCCAAAGATGGCTTACGTAGCCGATCTTCGCGGCAAACCCCCTCGTGCATTGAGGGTAATGCGTATGGAAATAAGTAATAGTGGTGGGAAAGCTGCTGTCTTTCCCGAAGATTATAATCCGGGCATTTTCAAGGCGAGAGTGAATAGGCACTTACAGGGCAGATATGTTCCATCCTAGACTGCATCCCACTTAACATCAGGTGCGATTGTGGTCAAATACCTGCCTTGTTATCCATAAAAAAAGAGTTAACTACCCACTAACTTTACCTTGGAATGTATAGCAACAGAACCTACGGAGCCCTCACTACATTACACTTTTACATCGCCATACTTTAACACGGTTCCAATAAGAACGCATATTTTAAAGTATTATCTATTCAGAAGTTTGTGAACTAAAAAACAGAATCGACAGTTGAATTTATAAACTAGGCGTGACCAATATGCCAAGGCTATATTTATGATTAGAAAAGGTATCATTAAAAGCTAGAATAATGAGATTTGTTTTAAAGTAATACAAAGTAAATACAATATTTTAAGTTTTAACGTAACCCTAAAGAAATCAGCTGTTCAGTCAGACTACACAAAATACAATAAGGCCGGTATTTTAGATAAATCAATAAGCATAGTAGAGGGGTAGAGAATACTATAAAGTTAAATTAGGAGAATGTAAGGAATCGTCGCGTCTCTTGTAAACTACTCAGACCTTTTTTTCTTTATTTTTATTTCTTGTTTCAAGCTAAAAGTTCCACTTTCTTTTACCGACTGACATGTAGGTAGTAAAACAAAGTGTTTAAGCTCAGTGCTCTGACGACTAATTAATTTAATAAAGAATAATTAAAAAAAAACAAACAATATAGCAAAACGATTAAAAGTCAATCATAATGCAAGAAAGCATTTATTTTCCCAATAAAATGTCATGAAGGTTGCCTGCCCGCATATTCGCAGATAACGCTTGTAAATTCTCGCCTTGCGCTATATTCGGAACCGATCTCGGCTATCGCTTCTCGATTTCGATATCGATAAGCCAGTCGTATTCGTATGATAAGTGAATCGATAAGAAGCGAGTAGATATTATTTGGACGACCGAGGCGTAGGGTTGACGAAAATGTATGATCACTTATGTCACTGAATCCAATGACAGTTAAACTTTCTCCCGGGACAAACTTGACCTACACTGGTTGGGTTTTTACTTATTGTCGAGCTTTAAAGGGTCTACAGATAGGGGATAGGATCTACAGATCCTGGCTACAAAGGAGTCGCAGCGGTGGGAATAGTCCCGTTGTTTTACAGTAGTAAGAAAGGAGTTCAAACTAAAAGAAGTATTACTTCTGGTAATGGAATTTATAGTGTCAGAGCAGAGCATTTAATACAAATATTTTTGACTTCAATTAAAAAAATATTAAATTAAATAATTAAAGTATCGTCGATTTAGAATACAAAGATCCCAATTAAATAGTTATACAAACGAAATAAAATAATGTGTTTTATTAGCGTAATTTTATATCATCTATTTAGTGCCACATTTGCTACAGCCCTAAGCTGATGGAAATTTTGTCCTCGTAATAAAGTTCCCGAAAAACGTATTTACATAAATTATATACTGACTTGGCACGAAGAATATGTACGAATACCTAGTTTAGATAACTTTTTCATCCTTTGCCATCTCATTTTTAAAGATGAACGAATTTTAGTAGTAAACTGAATATCGATTTAGTGACAAAATCCTTGTTAGTATATACAGCCAGCAGACAATATACTACTTTAGTTTATATGCCAAAAATTACTTTAATTCTTAAACTTTTTTTATAGTTCAGTCTCCAGTCAGACATCAGTAGCGTCTCTGACACCAAAAATGTGGGAATTGGAATATTTTCTCACAAAAATACTACACATCAGTTATTAACCGCATCTACGGCGTTTTGAAGCCAAGCATTGCCTCTATATACTGCCTATTATGCGTAATTTATTACCTATCTAATGCTGAATAAAATTTACGATCGGTTTACGTGAAAACCTATTGTACGTGTCACGCGCAGCCGAGGCGTGTGCCTTATCTGTCCGTCACTTTCGAGGAGATCGCGATATGGATAATCTGTCAATTCTGTCATGTATACCTATTGTCTACTTCGTTATTTTCGGTCAAATTGAACCCTTGCGTAGATGGATTATTAAGGAAGGGAAGGCGGAAAATGATGGCATTGATAACACCTGACTTCTTCCTTGAGGATCTCTTCAAGTAAATATTGTATCTTTTTAGTTATTCTGGTAACTCCACCAACCATTTAAGTTTGTTCATTGTAAGAGAATGAAGCTTCTATCCTACTTTTAAATTTTTTGAGTTCGAACCACTTTCAAACTAGTCGCGTCATGTGTGGTCTCTCAACGGACGCCATGGCAGAAACTTAGATGCAACTCAAAAGTAACTAGAAGGCCTTAGGCCCACAATGAAACCCAAAAGTGGCGAAACTGCAACTCCATTATATCTGTCAAATCTGTCGATGTCACTGACCTGGTCTGGACTTAACGAGCTGTCGCCGCTGGCGTTCCTCTCCTGGTTCTGCGCGGTTCTCTCCTGCTTGCAGGCGGTGTGGTACTCCAGCCTGGTGCGTTCCACCTTCTGCAGGAACTTCGCCCACGGCTTCTGCGCCTTTTTGAACGCTTCGTCCATTTCTTTGCGCTCTTTTAGCTGGATCATTGACTGTGGACAAGGTATACAATTAGTGCTTAGTTTAAAACAAGACTACGTTATTGAGAGTACGTAGATTAGCTGAAAAGTTTCCTGTAGGATAGTTTTAGATTGGCATTAAGATTCACTGGAAATTGATTTTAATATCGTTGCGCCTTGCGTATGAAGGTTATACAAGCAGTTGGTATAATAGTTTATTATAATGTATGAGGTTCTTCAGGAGCATAATGATTAAGATTATATGTGCACACCAAACACAAAATTAAAATTTTATTGCATCTATGTTAGGGTGGGTGCACCAGTCCCACACCAGGAACCTGTAGTACACCATTTCTAATTTCACATCAAAATATTAAAAATCTATCGAATTTCCCGCCACTTTTGTTACGTTTGGAGCACTGCCGTACTTCTACCAATAATTAGTCATAAATAAAAGCGACAAACACGACTTGGTACGATCTGGTCAACCTTAGGCACATTGCGACTTTCCACATTGATTGTTAAATAAAAATAAACCTTACAGCTATTAAGAAAATTTGAATAAGCTACTTGATTCTATGATAGACAAGGAGTAGTTAATTCTTTTTTTTGCAATTTTGTATACATTAATGTAATAATGCATACTTCACATTTTTTGAATGCATCGTAACCTAAAAAGTAATCTTGCCAACCAAGATTATTATTTCATATGTGACAGGATATAGGTAATATCTTATCGCGAATAAAACGCAAAGATTATGTGGTGATGTCATGGAAAGTGATACATTTTTGCCAGTATCTATCGCATAATAAGCAATAACTTATCCAATACATCCATAATTACGTTGACAATGTTTCTAAACTGCTCCTTAGATAACCCTATCTTAATAGTTCTAATAATAAACGAATAATAAATGCGAAAGTCTAGAAATGTATCTGTAAGAAATTGAATTTTAAGAAATAGGTAGCAGAAGTATAGTTTTATAAACAACATTCGCTAACATGAACCTTTATAGTTAAGATCATAATAGAAAATTGAATCACGGACATGGAAATCCCAATGTTATTAACCATAAAGCTATCGTGCCATTGCTTGTGTGCTCTATTCACTGAAGCATTCTACATGCACATAATAATATTGCTTTTAACATACAATCACGATAAATGTCTTACATCACGAGTGGTACTGGTGAATTTTGGACCCTATTTTCAGGGTCTTATGGGATATCTAGGGTGTTTTGTATGGTCAGCAAACAAATCATCGCGCCCCAGGATGCGCGGGCACGGGCAGTATCGTTTTACATACATAATACAAAAGACACTTAACTATATGTAGTCAAGAAATGAGTTAAAATTATGGTTTGGCGAAGGGGCTGAACAAAACTTCCTGAAGCCAGATGGGGCCAGAGTTTTGTGAGAAATTAGTTAGAACAGTAGAAATAATTCATAGAACTTTTAAAAGCTTCGTCATGAAGAATAATTAAAACTTAGCTAAATTTTTTGGATGTGTGCCTCGCTCAAATACTTAGTTCTAAGGATCTCTCCATTTCTGATTTTGATCACTATGAAATAGGAAAACTTTAAGCATAGCTATTCTGTAGATTACAGCTCGTATTACATTGTTTTGTGCAGTTTAAATTTTTTTTTACAGTATTAAAATAATCAAACAGCAAAAATGCATGCAATTCAAAGACAGTGCAACGCGCGCAAAAGGGAACGTGCGTTCGCGCATAATTTAGCGCACACGGCGAGCGTGACTGCGTCGGTGCTGGTGAATCAGCAAATTGTTCCTACGTCATACAGAAGCCAAGAAGTCACGAGAAGTAAAAAGAGGGTTGAATGGACTTGTTATTGAATGAGAATCACCAAACATATCTTTCATTTGTCTCATTTTTGACATTTAGGAGGAAGTTCTACGTTCATTCTGAAGATTTAACAATGTTCTTTAGTGCGTATAGGACTGGCTTAATCTTCTGCAATAAAGGAGGATGCAAATCCTGGACCCATCTTCTACTTACTAGGTAGTAGGTATCATATACATCTTATTTTTGACATTTGTATAAAAGTTACTTTATTATCAGATTTCATAGCAACCCTGGCATCATCCTTTCTGATATAACAATGAAGATGATTATTTAGTGTGTTTTCCTTCCTTTCACCATGAAGGTACCTAGTATAACAACGTGAAGTTAAGTATGAACTGTGTCAACTTTGATATTTTAAAACAAAAAAACTGTTTTAAAGATCTGGAGTTCTTATTGCTCAACACATAACTAGCGAGCAAATCGTTTTTAAATTGTTCCAGCGTTTAGTTATTAAATCGAGTGACCATTAACACATTTAAAGTGCGATGTATCATGATCTAGTTTTTACGATCATTTAGTAAATTATGTAAGTGAGATAGAGTTCAGTGATTCTACAAAAAAGCATCTCGAAATTCCTAGGAAATATTTTAAAGACTACAAAGAGAGAGTGTGCACGGTTCTATCTCTCTTATCTAAAAACTAATGAAAGTGTAGCATAAAAAATAATACATAACTCATACATATACATGGAAAATAAGCACTGCAAAACAAATTTTAGTGCTCCTAGAAGCCATATAACCCACAAATATTTTACAGGATTTTGTAAACTTTGAATTTTCAATTACTGTTAGCTGCAAGGAACCAGAAATTAAACATAACTCATCATCTCTCACTATAAACCATGACGGAGGTCAAATAAACAATCATAATATCTAAATACAAGTATGTACCAACTTGATACAGCAAGAATAAGAAATAACACCATAGTAGTTGCTTCCGACACTTTTTTCGAGTGTCTGGCGCGGTGCCAGCTATTTTCGGTGGATCGGTCAAAATAACACCGCCTGACCTTTCAGAAATCAGTTTCACACTCCGTAAGGCTTTAGTTTGCTGAAAATTATCAAATAGGTGATAACAATTAACATGAACAATTGAACAGTAATGATCAATTTCTTTCCTAATTATGATGAGGAGATCTCTTGCTATCAAGTAAAACAATAAGCTGAAAAGTCAAAATGTAAGCAATCGTGTGCCAATCTTTTTTGAACAAACCAAGTAGTAGAAAAAAGATTAAAGACTTTTGAAGTTGTCGCCATTTTTAATCGAATATTAACATATGCGTTGAGCTGAGCTAGTATTGATTTGATAACATCGAACATAAAATAGAATAAATACACGATAATATTTCTAAAGTTAATGCTACATTTGACAGCTATCCGTTATATTATCAACCAAAGACCACTAAACCCTTATTCAGACAGTCCTAGTCAAACTGTATATTTAACAAGCACTTTAGTCCACATCTTCAATTCTCGTAGCAAACTCGAGAGTACTTTGTAATACGCAATTTAACATAGATGCTAAACACTAAGGCCCAGAACAGACGGTGAAACGCAACTGCAACTGCTAGTTAATTTTGAGTTGCATCTAAGTTTCTGCCATAGCGTCCGTTGAGAGACCACACATGACGCGACCAGTTTGAAACTTTCAGTTTCAGTTTCATTCACAAGAATCATCAGAAAGTTGCAGTTTCGTTGCAGTTGCTTTTCACCGTCTGTTCTGGGCTTAACACATTAATATACACATAGTCTTGTATGTAGGTATGTAACATACGTTTAGTAGCAGATTAGCGGTGTTTAAATAGAGATTAATGGGTATGCTAGGTGATGCTAATGCTTCCGCGTGCCGAATGATAGGGGCATTTTGCGAGATACATCACAAGGTTATAAACAAGGAAGATGATTAGTACGTTTAGTCAAGAATAGTTATACGTTAGTTAGAGAGTTTATTGTCCTCAAATAATGGTTTCGGGTTCGATTTCTAGATAGTATTGGTACCAGTTTATAATCGATTAGACAAGATTGTCCAAAAAGGAAAAAGCATGACGTGTAGTCACAACTTTTCTCCATTTTTTGATAATACGTTTTAGTTTCTTATTACAATCTCGCGAGAACAAAACTTACTGCATCTCACCTAACTTCATGTGTGATTGCGGTCAAATACCTGCCTTGTTTGGCATTACAAAAAATAGAAAGAACTTTAGTTCAGTGACAACATCTAACTAAATCTACCACAACGTTCTTGGGTTCAAAATCGATGTCAAGGTCAATCTTAAGTATGCATAAGGCCCACAGAATACATTTTTCATGAAGTGGAATTATCTCAAGGACCAAGACGCGTTGATCCAAATACCCAGTCCCTTATCAGATGCTGATAAGAGCGTAAAGAAGCGTTTATCAGCTGTCACATGGTGTATAACGACGTTAACATTGTCGTTATTCAACTACTCTTGTATAAAATAACTCTTTAAACAAATGCATTCAAAATGGTAATTAATGTTATGACTAAACTGGAATTGTTTATTGAGAATAAATATTCAAGAGAAGCAAACCAATAGAATCACTAAACTCTACATTCATCCCATTTGGTCAACGTAAGTATAGAGAGAGAAAAGAGAGAGAGAGAGAAGAAATAGGGGCGGGGGGAGAGGAGAGAGAGAAAGAGTAAGCCAAATGCTCCGTGAAGATATAAGCTGATGACAATGAAGACATGCAAAAAAATGCCAATACAAACGTAGTCGTTTACTCGGAGGAAATAATGCCTTTAATAGTCTTAGAAAACGATTATATATCTTACGATGATAATAATAATAAGAGTCAGATGATATCCACCTTGTACCAATACAGGGTGGATATTGTCTTACTCTTATTAACATAATATTTTATTATTATTGTATCTTATTATTATTATAGTAGAGCGCAAGCTCCACTGGTCCCAATAACAAGCCCGCAATGAAATTCCCCGGCCAAAACGGGCCGGCCTATAACCGTTTTCGTGAACTTGGGTTATCGCGAAATTCGTGAATATTGGCCTCGCTCCAAGCCGTGACAGAGGGCATCAGCGTTATGATAAGCTACGTCAGGGGTTCCCAAAGTGTGCGCCGTAGAAAGTAAACTATACGAGGGGTGTTCAAAAAGTAATGAAAATGGGATATAGTTCACCATTTTG